GATATGATATTTGACACATGGGATCCCCATGAATCTGAATCAATTTGATGGCAAAGGTTTGATTGGGGAACCCTTGTAGTGTAGTGAGTTATGCACTGGCTTCTAATCTACATTAACACAAAGTTAGCAGTTTGAAATCACCAATCATTCTGCGGGTCAAAAGATAAGTATTGCTACTTCTGTCAAGAGTTACAGACTTGTAAACTCACAGGGGCTGTTCTACCCTGTCCTATAGGGCCACTAGGAATCAGAATTGACCCAAATGACAGTTTTTGTTTTGATCGGGGTTTGATTCAAGAACGATGGATGCAGGAAACAGCACAGTAATTTACAACTTCGCCCCACTGGTAATCCATCTTTGTCTACATACTTGAATACCAGGACCCCTGGGCTGTCTCACTTTGGTCTCCAGTGTTACACGAAATCTTACTGAGAAAGATCCTGTGGGCGGGGTGTGGTGGATGCTCTGAAAAAGAACTTGTGGGAATGAACACCCCTTGTGTTTAGGGTCTTGAAGTTATTAGAATCTAAGAAGACATTCCACATTTTTCTCTTGCAACTTTGGCAATATTTTAATTGATTTCCTCTGACCCGATTTATAACAAGTCACATTTTCCTCTCATGTTCTGCCAAAAGTGAAATCACTCTTTGGTCCCATGTCTTCTCAGAGGGGTAGGCCATTGATTGCAATCCAGTTGAAGCTGCTTAAAATCTCCACTCTGACAATTTGGAGAAAGCTTATGGCTTTGTAGATTTTACACTTTTCATCCTTGTTGGTTGAGAATGACACTCACTTGCTACTTCTTACATCACAGGTAGTAGAAACCCTCATGCACTAGTTTTACCATCAACTGATGATTTTTGGCTGAAACCTGTTATTATTGAAGTTACAAAAGTCCCTGATTTCATCATTCCTCCCACATTTATCAACTGATATACCAGAGCGTGTGTTTTGGTAATATTCCATTTGTCCAACCATTCTGCAAATGAGTGGCAAACACATTTCTAAAAAGAATCAACACTGGAAAATATCCAATGGATTTTTTTCGAAGTAAAAGACAAGCTTTCACGTATATTTCTGAAGTTGGAGCTAGATTACATAAGCAAACTCTGAAAGAAAATTATTCCCTGCTAATCTTTTCAGAGTTTCTTTAAAAATATTAGTGGAGATGAATTATCTACTAACTTTAAAATTTAAACTTACATTCACTGAACAAAAACAAGCTTAGTTTTAGATTGTTGTCTGAATATTAACAGCAGAGTACTATACGTAGTGCACATTTAAACATTCTATAAAACATTTAAATTTTATAGAATCATTCTATAAAATAATTGATTAAAAATGAGAAAACATACTCAGTACTTAAGGGAAGATACAAACATCTTCCCAGATACAGAATTTAACTCACACTCATTTAAATAAAATTCCAAAATCTTAAAAAAATACAAGATCAAAATTTTTTCTAAAGTAGATTGGCTCCCAAATATAGTGCATTTAGAATTGTAGCTTTCAAGCACTAACAGCTTTGAAATACCAATGGTGTGCTTTAAGTCATAGGAAAATGAGAATTATACATCATGGTTCATAATTATGAGGGGGAAAAGATGTCCCTGTTTAAACTAAAACGCACCTCCAAAACTTCAGTTGACAGAAAGTATTTGTCACTATTTGGCCCAGAAGACAGAGTTAATCAATTGTTTTGAACATGAGACCTCTCCCTCTTTATTTAACGAAGATTTTCATTTTCTATTCTGGAATACTGCTTTTATTTGAAGCATAAAATAGAAGGAAGAAACGTTTAAATTCTCCAAGGCTTTCAAATATCATTAATCAATTTCTTCCTGGCAATAATACTAGAACCAAATAGGACAGTGGGAGAAGGCTGCATTAGACTGGTCCAGGAAGTGAGTGGTTTCAGCAACAGAGTGACATACAAATGTGGGGGTTTTGCATTCACAAGTCTTAGAATTGGACCAGTGTTAGGGTTTTGGGAGGAAACGGTCCTTAGTGCTGATCTTTAAATGACAAAGTTGGAATTAGCAGGCCCTCTTTGTAAGGGCTTCCTGTCAGTTTGAAGGGAGGGCAGAGGATCCATCAGGGTAGCACTTGGGGCTTTTGTGGGCATATACCTAATCAGCATTTTCCTTTCATTATGATGAGGGTAAATGTAAATGTAAATGTCCTTTTGGGTTAATAAAAGCTTAATTAATAGTTAACATAATCTCCTTAAGCCAACTAGCAGCACCTACAAGCTTTAATCATGTTAAGAACAAAATTTTTGGAAAATACACAGAAGTCATCAGTTAGTAACAATGTCTTTTATTGCTTGACCAAGTTAAATTTTGGAGTAAGCTAATTATACAATATAAAAAAAATATCCTCCTCTTCCAAATGTCTCTAGATTGATTTAACAACTCTCATTTTTGTAAACAGACACCCAAGTTTAAATGCGCCCTAGGTCCATTCTTACCCCTACTGTATCCGCTCCTGCTGAGAAACCACCCCAGTTACGCTCTCCATAGTGTGCTTACTGTGACTGAAGATTGGTAAAACTGCAAATAAGCATTACAATTTGAAATCTCAGATGTTACTGTAGATGGCTAATTCTGAAGAGGACACTAGAATCCATTTTGAATGCATGCTTTTATTTTTTGTCAGCATTAGTCCAGATCACCTTTTTCCATAAAATGGGTATGAACAGGATGGAAGGCAAGCAAAGGAAGCATCTACGATCTGTTTTGAAGGCCTGGCACTCATTCTCCAGGGTAGCAGATGAAAGATGCTCTAATGTACCTTTGTGGTCGTCTCAGGAAGGGGGGAGGAATAACCACCATGCCCGATGGCAATAACACCAGATAGTTTAAATGAAATGGTCAAATAAAAAGAAAAAACAAAAGGAATCTTCATACATTTTTCTTTTGTTCTCATGTGTATGTGTTTTGGTTTTGTTTCATTTGAAATTAAATAAACTGGAACATGAGAAGAATCCAGTGAAAGGCTAGCATGTGTTTAAACTAGAAATTGAACATATTTTAGGGATTCAACCTCGATTTCTTCAGGTCTAGAAGACAAAGATGATGTGGTTTCCATGTCAACTCTTGGGCTTCATTTCTTTTCAAAACTTTCCTTTATATATAACGTTTACCTCGTGTTTTCATCACTCACATTTAAAAAATCAAATTGCATTGCATGTCCCCTCATGGAAAATGACTTACTATACTGAAATCACCTGCTTCTTATCTGTTGAAATGAAACTATTTCTTCAGCTTAAATTATGTGAATAGCAGTCTAATTCATAGAAATGTAAAGGCAATTCCATTCCCCTACTACACACACACACACACACACACACACACACACACACACCCCGCGTGCACAGAAATAAGTTGCAACTGATTTTTTCCAAGAAAGGTAATGGTGCTCCCAGTATGAAACATGGCAGAAAGAACTTCCGGCTGCAATCTACGTACTGAAATCAACGTTGCCCTCAGCGTTGAAGTTTTATGGACTATCAATGTGGGCAGTAGTGAGTATGACCGGACTCTGATTCTCCGGTATCTAAATGAGGAGAAATCAGACATCCACCTTGCTCTAACACATACAGGACCCTACCAAGATGTTCATGAGGGAAAACAGAAAAGGAGAGTGGGATGGATTTTATTCTCACTGTCAACTTTATATTTTATATAAAAAAATCTATAAACTTTAAATTAGCAGCAGACATCTTACTAGGGATCATCCAAAATGAACAAACAAAAAATGCTCTCTCTCTCACACACACACCCTTATGGGGTGACCGTTTTCAATCAATGGTGGTTGTGTTGACCTCTGGCAAAACAACGGGCAACGGCATACTTGTTTTTACATTTGCACCCACATAGGTTACACTGAAATGGGTTTTCACATCCATGGCATCCCATAGTGTAAAGGATACTGTCAACAAAATACATGTCACAGTGCTGGCAGTGGTGCAGAAGCTGGGCTCTGGCCGGCAGGGTCTGGACTGGAGCGCTGGGCTGGCTATTTCCCAGGTTAGACATACTCGTGTGGGTATTTGGTTCATTGCTGGGCCCTGCCACGGAGCTGTCGTTCCTCTGCCCGTGTGAAGGCCAGGGGCCGGGACTTGTGGGCAAGGAGCTTTGGGGAATGCTTGCTGACATGGCAGAAGTGATGGCTGGGGCAAAGGGCGGCTGACTCATGAAAGGCTGTAGGTCAGGGCAGGGTACTACCCTGGGGGGTGCGGGGCTTTGGGGCTCAGGAGGCAGGCTGGACAACCATCCTGCTAGAGTTGAGAGCTCATTTAAAGGGTTGTCAACCGTGAGTTCCTGGGGAGCCCTTGGGAGGCCCCCAGTGGGTGTGGGTTTCGCCGTACTCTCACAGGCATTAGTCTGAAGGTTGGGCATTTCGTGGGTGAAGGCGTCAAGGTAGCCTGGCTTCTGAGCCACCATGGGCAGTGGTATATACTGTATATACCTGTAGGACAGGGTAGAATTGCCCTCGTGACTTCCTGAGACTGTACCTTGATGGGAGTAGAAATTCCTGTCTTCCTCCTTGGAGTGGTTTGAACTACAGAGCACAGGCCAATGTATAACCACTACACAACCAAGGCATCGGCAGAAAGCAAGGCTCCGGGAACTGATGGGATACCAAAAGAAATGTTTCCACAAGCTGACCAAACACTAGAAGCACGTAAATTTGTTTATACGGAGAACAACTCTCCCTCAATGCCGCGGACTGGGTTCCGGCTCATAGAAGCCAGAGTGGTTATTGTGCATTGGGCTGCAAAGCACAGTCACCATTCTAACCTACCAGTCTCTTCACCAGAGAAAGATAGGCTTTCTCTTCCTGTAAAGATCTAGTCTTAGGAACCCATAAGGACAGTTCTGCACAGTCACTATGTGTTGGAATATGACTGGAGGAGATCCATATTTATGTACATTCCAAAGAAAGGTGACCGAGCAAAGTGCAGGAATTATAGAACAATATCAGTAAGATCACATTCAAGTCAAATTTTGCCCAAGGTAATTGAACCACAGTTGCGGCAGTGTGTCAATAATGCTCTACCAGAATTTCAAGCTGGATTCAGATGAGGACTGACACACGGGATATCGCTGAAGTCAGATGAAACTTGGCTGAGATCAGAGAATACAAAGAGATGTTTACTTGTGTTTTAAACTACGCAGAGGCATTTGACCGTGTGGGTCACAACAAAGTATGGATCACAGCAAACATAACAAACTTCTCTTTGAGAAGAACAGGAATTCCAGACCACTTTATTTTGTTCATGTGGAACCTATACATGAACCAAGATGCAATATTTCAAAGAAAACAGGGCAATACTGTGTAGTTAAAAATCAAGAAAGGTGTGAGTCAGGTTTGCATCCTTTCACCATATGTATTCAGTCCATATGCAGGGCAAATAATCTAAGAAGTTGGAGCATATGAAAAAGAATGATGAATCAAGATCTGAAGAAGGCTTACTAAAAACCTTCTATATGCAGATGAAACAACCTTGCTTACTGAAAGCCAGGAGGACTTGACCTATTTGCCTCTAAAGATCAACAATGAGAGCCTTCAGCATGGATTGCAACTTAATGTAAAGTTGAGTTGCAACTGGACCAATAGATAACATCTTGATAAATGGAGAAATATTGGCAAGCATTTCATCTTGCTTGAAAAAGCTTCAAGATTTTTCTTACACACAATCCAAAAACTCCAGTGCCATTAAAGTCAGTTCTGACTCATAGGATCCTATATGGAGTGTCCAATACTAACTCTGTACAGGGGCAGACAGCACCATCTTTCTCCCACTAGCAGTTGTATTTTAACTATCGGATTTGCTGTTGGCAGCTAAATGTCTAACCCACATAGTACCAGAGTTCCTTCATTCTTGCACCAAAATAAGGCTAAATAAGAGCCATTTGGGCTGTCCTGAGTTACCTACAAAGTTGACTTGAAGACATACTTGGACATGAATCTTGTTCATAAGCCAGAGAACGCCTCCAGTTCTTGATGGCTCTAGCCAGCACACATTTTGGCATCTCAAATGCTAGGCTTGTTTCTGGGTATATTTGACTTGCTGGTTATAAAAATGGCGTCAATTTTTCCCTTTAAACTCTAATTTTTGAGATATAGAACATATGCCATATACCACTCTTCAAATTGATCACCAATCAAAAAAAAAGAATCAGGATATTTGAATGTAGTGTTGTTAGCTAGACTGAAATAGAGGAAGTGCCTACTGGCTTTCTTTACTTTGTGTTGTGCTAAGTATTTAGGTCAAGTTATACTTCACATGGTCTCATTTGATCCAAAGATATATTTGAACAGTGCAAATTACATGAACTAGAAATTTCCCCCAAGTATCACTTCACCTTTATTAGGAATTGAAAAGCAAGCAGTTCCAATTTGTTATCTTAAAAGGGGGCAAAAATAAGAATTACTGTACAGTAAATAAGGAGCCATGATAGTGTGGTGTGTTATGTGTTTGACTGCTAACCACAAGTTCTGTTACTCAATCCACCAGACTCATAGCAAGAGAAAAATGAGACTTTCTGCTTTCCTAAAGATGAATAGCATTACATACCCACAGGAAAGTTCCAGCCCGGCCTATAGGTTTGCTATAAGTCATAATTAAATGACTAGTAGTGAGTTTGGTACAATAATTAGAGATGCAAATGTTTTGAAACTTTAAGTAGGTCCATCAGAGTTCAATCTTTTCTTGAAATTAAAATGTCCCAGTCTTGTTAGAAGACAGCACAACTTCCCCATCTGTGCAGAGAAACCCTTCAAAGAAAAGTTAGAATTTTTCTTATAAAGAAGCTTGGAGTTAATCTCACCTCTGCAATACTTAACATGAGTTATCCATTGATTTCTATATAGTAAAACATGTTCTGAAATGTTTACTGAATAATTTGAAGAAAAAGGTAGAACTTTAAAATATTATTGCTGATTAATTTCAAAATTGCTTTAAAATCTTACATTTTTTAAAATATTCTAAATGGACACTTTGTGTTTCCAAACCTTTAACTTTTTCAAAGACTGCAGAGTGACTGGTGCGTTTGAAGAATTGACCTTATGATTGGCAGCTCAAGGTGTAACCAACTAGCCACCACTGGTTCTCTTGGAAGTCCCCCCTTACTACTTAATTCTTTTTTGAATATTTCTTACCCTTTTTGTCTTATCCTATAGCTTGTGAGTCTGAATTCTTCTCATATTTAAAACTAGGATTATAAATTAGTAAATTAGTGGCAATTAATAGCTGAAATATAGTGGAACACCATAGCTTTTTGTCTTATCCTATAGCTTGTGAGTCTGAATTCTTCTCATATTTAAAACTAGGATTATAAATTAGTAAATTAGTGGCAATTAACAGCTGAAAATATAGTGGAACACCATAGCTAAGAAACTAGAAGCACAGCTTTACGTTTTGCCACACCTTTTAGACTAGCTAAGGGCCCTCGGGACTTCTTTTCCACACGTACCACTTCAATAAACTTACGCTTTCTGTTCAAACCTTACCCCAAAAATAAAAAGGACAAAAAAGAAAATAGAGCTTATGTGGTCTGTCCAGCCCTATTATTTGAACCAGTGTCCCAAATAAATCCAAGATCAGACCTAAAATCAAAGACACTAAGAAAAAAATCCGTAGTATTTTTAAATGTTTTTTTAAGGGGGAGGATTGCGTCTCTTTTTAATGAAATATTCCAAGAAATTATTATTGAATTTAGGAAATAAAGCTTAAAGTTAAGCAAAATATTAGGGGCATGACTTCTGTGGCAGAATAAAGACATGGATGCACTAAAATGAAATCCATTTGGTTCACAAGATCTGAGAAGTATATTCCTGTGTGCACATGCTCATGCATGCGCCATGCATTTGAGCATGTATATCCACTGCAGTTGTCCTGTACAGTACACGACAGACAAAGCACTCAATAAATAATGTACACCAGCATAAAAAAGAACATAAACAAAAATCACTTGCTTTAAGCAGAATTACTCCACACAAGCCAAAGTTACTGCCGTAAGTCAATTCCCAGTCATAGAGACCCTATTCATTTTGCTTTAATTATTTTTCTCTCTGGGGTTTCCAAACGAGCCCAAGTTTTGTTCAGTAGGATGTGTACCTTTGAGTCGCAGTGTCTTGATGGTAGTGGTTTGGTGCAATTTATTGGGTTTACAGTACATAAAATGTAGGTGATAAAAAGATAGCCTCCTATAAAAATAGACAGTCTTTATGTGGAACATTGAGAAGCAGATTCATAGTCCCACCTTTCCAGTCCAAAGTAACCATTGTTAGGAATTCTCTGCAACGTGACTATTTCTCAATTTCTTCACTTAAATGGAATTTTACCAATTATCATAATTTTTTTGGCAAAATCTTGTGGGATTATAAAGAGACTTTTCCCCAGCTTTGTCTCCCCCAAAGACATGCCAAACATTAGGGGCTTTCTGCCAGCATGTGGTGAGAGGCCAGATGCTTAGAGACATCCTCCCTAAAGACAGTCAGTTGCCAGACAACTGTCTGATTCCACCAAGGTAGGACCTGTTCCCTGCTATTACGGACAAGGGGCTACTTTTCCCTAAAGGCTTGCAGTCATTGATTTGGTTCTTGTAGGTGGAGTTCACACTCTACTGATAATGTTCTCTAAAGTTGAGCCAGGAACAGGTCTAACCAGCTCAGTGACATCCAAAGTTAGGCTGTCATCCTGAATCTAGGATCCACCCATCTTGCCACTTGTATACCCCCAACCCCTCCTCTTCCTATTGCTTGGATACCCCTAGATCATGCCCGTCCCATTACTGTAATACCTATACCACAACCCTTTTCCTGTGGCGTATGTCTTCACCTGTAATTAGGGGGCTTGCATGTCCTCAGAGAATATAAAAGCCTTGGTTAGCAATCAATATCTCTCTCCACGTGGACCACCAAGTGAGGCTGAGGTGAGCAATGCTATCATGAAATGTGTCTGACTCCACTGTTTCAATCTCTTCTATCTTTCATGCTCTCTATGACTTTACTATAATCTACTTAATATCGCTGTACAATTGTGCCTACCGGACCTGTGATGATGTGTTAGGGGCTAGTTTACCCTACAAAATCTGATGTCTCATTTTAATGTTCATTTGAAATCACCAGTAGGAATTAAAATAACTTAATATTTTCATTGAAATTTTTCATTTCAAATTTCCACTGGGTTTATTTTTCATTACTAATGCAGATGTAAATTTTTTGAAAAAATATCGGGAAATACAATCACTGAAAAACGTCATGTTAAACTTACAGATTTTCACATGAAGAAATAAATCATTTACTGCTGAGCAGAGAAGAAAATCCCCAAGGAAAGCAGGAAGCGCGAGCATACAAACTTGGCAATTATTGTGAGAACAGGCTTTGTGTTAGTCCTTCTCCATAAGCAGAGAAAACCCTTCTTCATAAGAACAGA